TTTACTATGTTTTCTCCGTGGCTCCTCCTTTTGTGCCGGCCGTTTCCAGGGGTCAAACGAAGCGCGAAAGTAAACAGCGCGTAGCGAAGGAGTTAAAAAGCGAGGGAGGTCTGGATCTGGGTCGGGTTGGGTAATAAACGCCGTTCTCTTCGCGACTCGACCCAAACCTCCCTCGTTTTCGCTCTGCTGCTACTATCACGCCGTTGACTATTTCACCCTGTTTATTTAAATGAACGCCTAGAACAGGAATGCACTACTACACTGTGATTGTTTCAAACCATGTGAGCCCACGATACTCCAGCGGTCAGGGTTTGGGTTTGGTTTAGGGTTAAGGTTAGGAATATAGAATTTAAGAAACGACGACGACGACGTCGTGGACAACGTCGGTTAAAAAATGAACTTATATTTTACCTACGAATCTCGCGATTCTCTAAAGTCATTATTCTGTTTCTCGCTGTCCAAGCTATCTCAAAACTGCATACTGAGTACAGCGTTAAATTAGACATGGAAATTCAAAATATTAGCCGTCATCGTTCACATTCTCCAGACAACCCAAAGTTTGGTCATTTCACGTTGTGGTTTTGTAGAGGACGCCGTGATTGGTCAGAAAAAGCTCATTATATTTCCTTAAGGCACGCGCCTTACGTCACACGAGTGCACTGTTGAGATATAATGCACGCAGCTTACGTCATTGGTACGAGCGCGCGCAATTCACGATACATTTTATAAAAGAAATAAAAAAAACTTGTTCCTCGAGCATTGTTGAGTTATATAAGCACTTTGGAATTTTTAAGAACACTAGAGAAGTGTTTCTCCGCACTTCTCTCGTGTTCTTAAAAATTCCCACGCGCTTATATAACCCAACAATGCACTTGGCGCGTTTTTATTTCTTTATTATAACGCACGTGCACAGCTACTGTTCTTCTCATTTAATCTTTTGTTTAGAGAGGTTCCCGTTGCTATTACCGTCGTGGTTTTCTTTAACTCCCAAGGTATCACGCTTACCTGGTTTGAAGCAATGTTACGTTGTGATTTCCCCTGGAAAGGGCTACTATTGTGTTCGCTTTGACCATTAGGATTACTTCGGTTTAAGCTTGGTTCATAACACTCAATCGAAGGTTACAGATTCAAGTTTCCAGAGAGAGTCTTTGTAAGCCAAAAACGATCTGATTCAAAAGAGCCGGAGTTTGTGGAGCGATTGTTTTTAAAGTTTATTCAATTCACTCAAACTCCTTAGTGTTTACAACAAAAATAACACAAATGAACTGAAAAAAAAGCATGCTTCGAATGGAAATGCGATTTATCAAAGCTGAAAAGCGACTTATTTTAAGGCCGAATACGGCGGCTGAAGATTTCGCGTCACCTCGTCAACGTGAAAGGCTAACAAGCTCGTAGAGAATTTTTCATCAATTCATGATCAGTTCAGTTGAAACTCCCTCGGCACCAGGGACACGATGGTTGAACGTGCGTCCACTTCTCGTCGAGGAGATCTGGGAGAGCGAGCTTGTCTGTTGTGAAGAGGTCGCCTCCTTCTATCCCTCGAGTAATCCCGCTAAAATAAAGAATGAGCACAGCTTCAGATCTTTATTGGCGTGCGATGAAGGTAATAACGCGTCCACTTTCAAAGGAAAGAAGACTTTTGTTCCCCTTTCCTTCCCTCTCTTTTACTTAAAGGTATTTTCCTTTCTCAGTTCTGACCGGTTTTGGTCCCACAACCCTCAGTCAATAAGCTCTCTATTCTATAATTATCATCGATTTATGGATGACAACCAGCATTGTGTTAAATGGGTCAGACTCCTAGTCGAGAGAGATCAGGAGTCATGCGGGGTTACCCGACAGAGCTGGATAACGTCTGCGCATGCGCTAGACTTTGGAGCGGAAAAAGGATTTTGAGGCGTTTGCATGTTTGATTTTCAATTCAGTTGGAGAAAGAGCTGAGTTAAGTTCTAGCAGAATGCTTTACTAAGTGTAGGGTTCTTAGGATCATATTTGCTAGGTATGTGCCACTGGCCTCTCAGAACCCACTATAGAATATTCTGTGACCAATTACAGACCCCATCTTATTTACTTTTGGATGAATGTTATTTTCACGATCCCAGCGGTAACAACTTTTTAATTACGAATCTTCCCCTTTTTATATCCCTACTTACCCCCAAAATTCCGAAAATGTGCGAAACCATTCTAATAATTCTATTGAAAATGCAACCCAATTATAGCCAATCCAGTCGCGAAAATATGAACTACCTATTAACACATCTCATCAACTTATTAGTAGGAAGTACTCCCCCTCCTCCTTCTGGGGCTTTGGCCTTTTTCCTAGCCACCTATGCCGATCTCTACCTCGGTTGACCCTCCGTCAAAACTATCGCACGCTGGTGAATTAATATGCATTGTTTTGAAACTTGGAGATGGCTGCCTTTTGCTACTAGTTTTACCTACCGAAGGACCCCTGTTGTACTCATCTTGAGAGCTGTCAGAGTCGTTTTCTTCATAACAATCTTCATCTTCGGTGGCCCAAATGTCTTCATCAGATGAGGAGTCAGTTTCCCCTGAAGCATCTTGGGACTTTTTTTCATCTTTACCTTGTTCTTTATCTCTTTTCTGTCCAGCCTTTTTGTCATCAGACTTGGAAGATTTGCCTGGCTTTCTTTTAACCGCGTCTTCGCTTGCAGTTGGATCAGATTCCTTTGAATCGACAAATTCAATCAATTCTTGTGATACATGAAAAATATATAAATAAAAGAAATCATGAAAAGCTTCAAACACAGTCAGGTGGTACCAATTGTTTCGAGGTTGGATAACGCTATTGTCTGAATTCATCTCTATCCGGTGGATAGTGCAGTACGTTTTGTTAACACCTATCTGCTGGATAGCGATTTATCCAAAAGATATTTACCTTACTTGAGTCGTGTGTTCGTTTGTCTCCCGCGTGGTTTTTGGGTCGATTTATAGCGAATTAGGTGGTTTTTACTTCCTTCCCTTTTCGTTACAAACACACTTTCGAGAGGGACATATGTTGGGAAGTGGACGAAATTCAACCGACTAAATCTCTATGAATAAATTTAGCATCCACACGGCAGGCAGAGAAACACACGACCGAAGATTTCGCTTTCTAAATGCAACCGTTACCACCGTTTAAGTCTTTACATTTGCGTAACAACAATATAGCACTGAGCACAGATGTACTCGAATCTCACCCTTAGACCTGCTGTAATCTCGTTCGAGTGAAATGGTATCTTACCGGCACAATCTTGACAGTTTGAGAGGAAGGCGCAGTGAATGGGCCATTGTGCACTTGATTAAAGTAATGTGTTCCGTCTGGTCCCACAGTAAAATCCACCATGTTACCATAAACAAGCAATGGTGGATTTTCTCCGCTTGCCTGAACCCAGTGCGGGTTGTAATAATAATTCCCTCGATAGGAGTGATTCGGGGTGTAGCTCATTGTGTTTGAATGTTTGTTCTGGTAGCACCGTTCCGTTTTTTTGAAACAAGTCGGTTACAGGCACATTCGCATGATTCAAATGCGTGCGTACGACATCACAATGGGCTTCGAGCGCGCGGTTTTTGTGCGCGATTTGCGCGCGCTTACCTCGCTACGCGGGCACACCTCAATGCACATGAAACTTGTTGAACGAAATCACACAACCTTTGGGGCAGTTATGTGCGAAATTTGAAGCCATTTTCAGCTAAGTGCTGGAAGTAATCCGGATTTATTTTCGTTTAATTGCATTTCGCCTAATGCTTCATTTATAGATTTTGCTCCACCTCTTCGACTAACCAGATGAAAAACCAAAACCAATGGTGACTTGGACACTCGCCTACTCCCGTGCTTGATGACGCTTGCATGTGTATAAGGTGATTCCTCTGAAGAAAAGGTTATAATTTGTAAGGGGATAATTTGTACACCAAAGTTACGAAGTAAAAAATATAAGTCGGCGTGCTCATTCAAGAGCTGAAGACGATTGTTCCTCTTTTCCTCAATCATTGATTAAGTATAGGAAATCGTATGAACCTGCTCGTGCATTTCGTGATTTATGGGCACGAGTGATGTTTTGAAAGTTCTCAAAATTGCACGAGCCGTAGGCGAGTGCAATTTAAGAACTTTCAAAACATCACGAGTGACCATAAATCACGAAATGCACGAGGTTCTCATTTTTTATTTATTATATTCTCAAATTTGTGTTCAAATTTGGCGCTTCCCCGGTGTTTCCATGGCAACTTCTCCGTATTGCACTCTATAACCTCTATTGCACTCTATAACCTATTTATGCATTCATCATTGACCAATCAGAAACGCGATATTTTGTTGAGTATATAATAAGTAGTACTACCGTGTTCTTGGAGTAAGCGCGCGCTTATTTGCCTGATTACGTGATTTTTATGCGCAGTACAGGATGCGCAGTGTAATACTGAGAATCCCCTGAACGAATTCCCATTGTCCCTTACAACAATTAAACAATTTGTTCTGATTGGCTGTTTAATGACACTCGATGAGTAAGCGTCTTTCAGGTACTTGAGTGACATGATTCACACTGGCTCCAAGAGGGAATGAGGGCAAATGGAACGAGAAGGGCGTTCTGTTGATCTAGTGCGAACATGTAGACTTGACATAATAACACTAATAGCACATGGACATGAGGAAAAAAACGGATCTCCCTCTGTTATGCCGTTGGAGCAATTTTCAATCGAATGTCGAAAGAAGCCCGGGACTGCTTTGTGATTGGTCCAAAAACTCGCCACCAAAACTAAAACCAATCACGACTTGGTTGCCCGCATTTTCCCGCACTTTAGGTAGTTTGGTTGGTTTTACTTCGAGTTCTCACTGACTATTTAAGGTATTTTCTTCTCTTCCGATTGGCTGTTGCGATAACTTTTCTGTTTCACGATACTCAATCGAAAAGTACTCTATCTCGCACGACGTATCAGGCTCAAGAAAGTTTCTGTTGAGCAGATGACACTCAGTTTAGTCGAGAACCAGCATTAAATGTTCATCTCACTTCATGTAATCAGCACAACCTCCAGAGAAGTTGTCACAGTCTTTTATTTCAATTTTATTTCAGACAAGTAATTTAACCTTAAAAACACTGCAATCACTAAACAAGATCATGTTACTGAAAAAAAATCATATCAAGTAATGGAAGCGTTTTCAACAGGTGGAACCACTCCTTGCAATTTCACAGAATTTTACGTCTGAAAATAAAGATTCCGATTTGTCTGTGATTACTTCCAGGGCACGGCATTGCGTGACATCAACTGCTCGTCACGCAACATGCTACGAATTAGAGTCTGATTCGGGAACAGACTTAACAAAGACAACTTTACGTTGATAGCGCTCACTTGAAGAACTTGCAAATGTACAAATGTTTTAGTAACATAACGATGAAGTTTAGTGCCGCGTTTGGGAAGAAACCGCAGATGAACGTGGACTAAATGTTATATTTGATAAAGATATCCCAATCCTTTCGTGAGCCTATTCTCATGCACGAGAAAAGAAAAGAAAAGCAAGCACTTGACCCAAAAATTATCGTTTCGCCAAAACGCTTTGAAAATTAGGATCCTAAAGAAAGTACTGATCAATATTTCGTTGGGATGGTCGCGACTGACGATTTCACACAGCACAGTTACGCAACGCGTACCACAGAGCTCTGCTCTGAAGTGCTGTCCATCAGCTAATTAGAATGATGATGCAGTAAAACTTAAACCACGCACTCTTCACGACAGAATCGCCACGAACTGCTAATCCAAAATACTGAAAGAGGCGAGGACGTCTAACACTACTACAGTATAAATTAACATCTGAAATAAATACTCATATAAAAGTTCGAATTGGCGAGTGGTTTGCCAAAACTGTACAACAACCCAAATTGAAATGGCTACAGCCTTCTTAGTCATTTTTCTTCGGTGGCTCATGAGTTCGAATATAAAATTTTTCATAGAGGAAAGCACTATCTCCCTGCGTTGAGTTAAACTATAGGTGTGACTTTACACTACATAACCACTTTATGTGTAGACACAAGGCGTTCACTTTCAGTCCAATTCTTTATACAACCGGTGCATCGTTTGTATGAATTCATGAAAATCACAACGATTACAAACCTGGTCAAATTGCCTACAATCATAACCAGGGATACTGACAACTACTTCAAAAGAAATACAGATCTTTAAAAACTGAAACCATTTAGATCAGTTTCGTGTGCCTTGAAAAGCCTCTGTTTTTACCACAGAAGATAAATTTTGGCTGGTTCCAAAACCAACATTTAAAAAAATGATTTCTTTCTATCCCAGAGTGGAACAGGTCTGACATTTTCAATAAAGCAGCATACACAATTTCCAACGGCCTAAAACAGATTATCCAAATTACTGAGTGTATTCATTCATAAAAAGTGAAGCAAACAAGATACTGAAACATATCTATGTCAAGTCAAATCGTTGGGAAAATTCCCGTTGTTTGTAGCGGTCACCAAAACGTATGGTAGTAAACAGATAAACTTTGCTCTTTAGTTTTTCAACATGCAAACCACGAAGCGAAACGCGCTTGAGAAATACGAAAAAGGAGTTATGATACACTACCAGTTGCTTGGAAAACAATTTACATGGCGAATCCCCTGCACAATCTCTTCGTTTCTACCACAACATATGATCCTAATAGCGTAAAACTACAATTGAATGCAAGTTAACTGCCTAAAATATTTCTGGACCTAAAACAGATTCTAAAAATTCTAAAAAGTCTACTAATTGTCTCTATTCCACAACAGTGCTGGATTCTGGTTCTTGTTCGCCACTGTCGTCTCGTATATCCGATGCCTTGTCTTGTATAGTCTTCGTGCGCGTCACAATATGGTCGCAGCAGACGTGAACACCATTACTTACTTCTGTGATTTGACCAGACGCATGCGCTCTACAGTAAGAATTCGGGCATTCGGAGCACAGGACGTTGGCCCATTTACCGCAGTCATCACAGAAGTGCCACGGACAAATCCACTTCCCACGGGTTGTAACAGGCCCGCCGAGGCAATCCCTGTGGTAGCACTTGGAACAGCCTGCCTTGTCGCACAGGAGAAGTTCTCCGCCATCACCGCAGATGTAACAGTCGTCTTCATGAACTGAAATTGCAATGGAAACTTGTTAAGTGCAATGCACTCAGAGATCTGTGTGTGGGCGTTTGTTGCAGCAATTTTCAATTGTGTCGAACGTAATTGGGAACTGCAGTGATTTTTTTTCCAATATGTTTCATGATTGGTCCATAACTTTTCAATCAATCAGATGCCAAAATAAAACCAACCGCGACACAGTTTGTTTGCTTGTTGCTACGCTAACTGTTCAACCAATCAGATGCCAAACTAAAACCAAACGCGATGCGTTTTCCCGCGCTTCAAGCAGTTTGCTTGTTTTCACTTGTCATAGCTGCCTTTACTTCGATTGTTCATTGTGATAACTTCGGTTCAGGATTTACGGTATTCGATCGAAATTCGCTTTGGCTTTATCTTCGTGAATGACCAACAAAATGATTTCCTGTAACTCTACGATAGAGGTTTACCAAACTATATATTTTATATGTCGCTTTTATTGAGTCCACTAAATCGCTGCGTGTCGTGAGTTATGGGTTTAACTGATTGGAACAGAAATAGGTTTTAATCAATTGCGCCAGGGTTGGCCAGCATACATACAAGCGAAGAAACACATAAGTTTGCTCGTGATTAATTCTCTTAATTCTCTTCTGGTTTCCTAAAATTAAGTTCTCGTTTTATGCAAGGCATTATACGCATTTTACCATAAGTTCACTGTAAATAGCTTACATCTACTGTAAATACTAAAAATCCCATCAATAGAATGTGCCGAATGAAGAAGGAGTCTTAGACGAGGATTCGAACCTCAAATCTTCGAATTTAGATAAAAAAAAGCAGCGCGACACCAAAGAATCTGATATTGAAATCTCTTCTTTGTCTTGATTTCTTCCTTGTCTCACGTTCGTAATAGAAGTAAAAACATCTTCCTCAGTTACTCAGTTATAAATTAGTAGAGCAATTTTCAGTTGAGTGTTGAAAGCAAACCGGAATTGCATTGAGTTTGCTTTACTTCGCTGTGTGATTGGTCCAGAACAATCGCACCACTCTCTCAACCAATCAGATTCAAAGCTAACAGCAAGTCAAGACTTGGTCACCAGCGTTTTCCCGCGCTTTATGCAGTTTACTTGGTTTTACTTTGAGCTCCCATTGGCTCCATATTACATTTTCCTTCCTTCTGATTGGCTGCTGTGATTACTCCGGTTTTGGCTTTACGACACTCAATCGAAAAGCGCTCTAACAGTAAACTGTACGTCGGTTTTAAAGTTTAACTCACGCTCTCGTGACTCTTCTAACTCATTTAACTCAAATAACCTTTAATTTTAAGGATCAATTTTAAGCACACCTTGTCTATGCACTATTGTTTAATGTCAGTCCCGGTTGAAGTGGGCTATATGTCCAAGGCAAGGCGCTATTCAGAGGAGAAGTGCCCGTGAGCTTTAGAGACGCTTGGTCAGTTGCGTTACAACTTGTGCCATGCTCAATAGAGGCTTCAGGATGGACAGCTGGCAGAGGAGGGGGTCGCTTGCGTGGTTCAGCGCACACTGGAGTATCTGAAGCCAAACAACATGTCTGCTTCAGAAGATTTTTTTGATAAGGAGCTAGCCCACGTAACGGGCGCTCAGATTGTTGCAATTCAGTACATTTAGGTCCCTACTTACACGAGAGTCGCGTTTCGATATTGTTTTTTAAGAGGAACGCCAGGGAATTTAACAAAGACAACTTGTCCACAAAACTTTTCATTTGAATTTTTTTCCAGAGAAGAATTTTCCTTCGAAAAGCCCATCACCATTTCCTTGAAAAAAAGCTTGAGAAATATATAGCTAAGCCAAGATAAAAATTTCATATTTTCTTCAAACACTCCTTGAGAACAAAGTAAAAAAATGGGCAAAACAATACAACTTAAAATCTAATTATCCCCAGAAATTAAAAAAAAAAATCTTAAAATATGTTGCATTTCTTTCCACGCTAAACGTAGCCAGAAGTTTCCTTTCTCGCCATCCTTTCAATTTGACATATCACCTTCCTCAACCAGAATGAAAAGAAACAAGTGAAAGGGAAAAATCACTTCAAAGCTGGATTGCGGCCACCAATAATCAAGAATCAATCAAAAACAAGTTTAAATAAGGCGGAAAAGGAAAACAAACATGTTTTTATTCGATTCATCTGAGCCCTGCCTCACGAAAAAGAAAACTTTTTTCCAAAAAATCCTAGCATTTTTTCTACAATTTTCTGATATCATTAAGATACCAGGCAACTGGCTTTTACCAAGAAGGCCTATCAACTACGTTGGCAAATTCCGTTTACCAGAAGCTTTAGCTAAACACGTTCCCTTGTTCAAAAACTGGCAACTCAGGTTTTGGACTGGGAGACCTGTCAAGAAATATCTTGCAGAGAACAAAATACTTCTATCTCTCCCACCAGGGAAAATGAGAATCGACAGAACGGAAAAAAAAGAGGAGATAACATCTGCTAGGGGAAACTCGCTCTTGGAAATGTGACTTCACACGTTATGCACGTACTTACAAATATCTGAGCGCCCGATAAAAAAGCAGAAAGAAGGCATCATACACGTCGAAAAAAAAAACCAAAAAAACCGGTGGCATGGGAAGGAATAGCTTGTTCGTTTTCCAGTACAACATCATTTCCGCGACCTGCCCTTTAAATCTAAAGCCTTTTGGCCATCAATAACACTCCATGACTTTAGTTGGGCACAACCCAAGGACAGGAAGCTTACTGAAAATCAAACAAAATAATGTCTTCCTCGTAACGCTTCCGTTTGAGAGAAGTTTCTTGAAAGCTTTGAGCACAAATTAATTTAAAGGTTTAGCATCAGAATTGCAAAGTTTAGGTTCATTAAGCCACGCTTTTAAAAGGCTGTTCACGAAAATTCAGATCAATCTCCTCCACAATTAGTCATAAGTGAGCATTTTCAAAGCATATGGCAGTTTATATAAATACTTTAAGATAAAAAGCCCATTTAGAATTTGGATTATTATTTATTACCACTTATTTTATTACATGCATAAAATTTTATTAAAGAAAAGTTTATGTGTTAAAACAGTAGCAGAGTAAGTGAAAGCAAAAATATTTGAAGCCAGTAATTCAACAAGTATTGGGATCTCCTGTTTCTGATATACATGCACAAGCAAAAGGATAAAAAAATATCAATTTGGCCATGAATAAATACTCCACCTGCAAATGTACAGTGTACAGTTCACACTTTTTGTTCTGTAAAGATTCAATTTTTTCCTCTCTAACCTTGATTGGAGCCATCATAATTTTTCGGTAAGAAGACGGATCAGTGTCAATATCTGAGCGAATTGCACCGCGTTCGCCCCCTATCGAGTTCGCCCCTACCTTATGCCGTGTTCGCCCCTACACTTTTCAAGTTCGACCCCATCAAGTCGAGTTCGCCCCTTGATTGAGTGATATCTAGATGAGTTGATTTGTAACGAAGGCACTAGCAGAATGTGCCAAATGTCACGTCAGCGACGACCATTTTGAATTTCGGCAATTGCGTGGAACCTGCTTGGGAACTGGCTTGACGGAATCAACTAAATACTCTCCGTGGGATCTGGGGTTACCAGAAATAACTGTATACACTGAACTTGTGATAAAGAGAACCACACGGTTTATCTAACGAACACGAAATGTGTTGATCGTAACAACCAGACTTGAGAAGATGCAAACCAGGCTTTCATCGCGACAGCATTGCTTAAGTTGTTAGACTTGTACCCGTTTAGCTTTATTTATGAAATTAAGACTGAAGAATTTACTCATCAACTTACGAATCAACTCATCTGGATATCACTCAATCAAGGGGCGAACTCGACTTGATGGGGTCGAACTCGAAAAGTGTGGGGGCGAACACGGTATAAGGTAGGGGCGAACTCGATAGGGGGCGAAAGCAGCGGATACCATCTGAGCAACTACACACCTACCCCACAACAGTCAACTGATAACAAGTTAGGATTAAAGTAAGAGGGGGAGAGGGGGAGGGTAGGTGCACAGATGCGCAAATGCTCAGATAATGACATTGATCCAAGAGCACAACAGGGAAGAGAATTGAACCATTCAGCTGGTTGCAACAAAAGTTAAGGGCTGAGGGAGGGGAGGCATGGCACCAACCAGTGCCCACCCCTCCCTCACTCCCCAGAGAAGCTTTGAATCTTTCATGCTGCAAATATTCTAAGAATTATCTCTACTATGTCCAATGTCTGGACATGAGTCAGAAAAAAACTGAGTCAAGGCTAAGTCAACAGATAAAGTTCTGTGTTAGATCAATAATAGCAATAACAATAATAACAATAATAACAATAATAATAATAATAATAATAATAATAATAATAATAATAATAACAAATGCATTCCTAGAAAGTTCACCTTTTAGCCTAATCTTTGTGAAGAAAAGAAAAGAAAAGAAAAAAAACACCTGTTTTCCTAGTTGGCACCAAATTACATGTACATTGAAACAAAGGGCACTGAAAGCAAAAAAATTTCATTCTTCATAGTGCGATATGGCAACATTTCATATCAATTCAAAACACACCTTCTTTGACAACAGCTTTCTTGATTTTCTTCTTTCTTCTCTTGTCCACCTTTTTAGATTTTTCCTCCTGGATCTGGTTCTTGGGTCTCACACCAAGGAAGCTGCTACAGTTTTTGGCTCCACAATTGCATTTCTTCTTTTCATTTCCTGTGTGGACAATGAAGACAAGATCATCCTAAAGCACAGCAGAGCCACTCCACTTTGTAATGGTTGTTTACATTTGCTACTTTTTACAAAATACAATTGATAACTGACAACAACCTAAGACAAATTTTCAACACTCCATCTCCAACTATACCCTTTCACCTGAAAGAGTAACTAAGATCTGATTTCTCCTCACAACATCACACCTGAATCACACATTCAAGTCATGAGAATAAAGAAAATGATCCCAAAGAAGCTTTTACTTGTTGAACAAATTCTCCTTGTCAGCACCTTAGAAAATGTATAGAGAACAGAATCAAGGATATGTCTACTCAGGATGTAAAGGGTTATGAGTGTGCATGTTATTGAAAAGTGTGGTCACATGTAACTTGATGTAACACTTCAATTCAATGCTTGATCAAATCTAACGCAAATAAACTGTTTGACCCACCTAAACAATCCAGCTGATAGTCAAAGTTTAGCTCCTCTCCTTCCTTGATATCTCGTGAGGCGAACAGACCCACTCGAACCTCTCCATTCACTGTCCATTTTTGTGTTTCACAATTTGGATCACAGCTATGATTCATGAACCGTGACAGATTCCCCATGGGACCAGCGTCAATAATGCAATCTTTGTCTATTGTCAGCATGTAGTAGTTAGTAATGTCTTCTCCTTTCCGTACACGTTCTTGACATGTAGCCTCATCGATGAGCTCTCCAACATACTCAATTACAAATTGGCCTTTCTTAACATCTGAGATAAAATAAAGGAACACTTAAATTAAGTGGCCTACTCTCAAAAATGCTCTTTTTCCACTGAGTTTTGTAAAGTTAATCAACAGCTAAGAAAAAGAAAGAAGACAATCAAGACGAGCCAATGGGAAACAGTTGTTGATAACCACTGACACAAAAACAGCACAAAAGTCAATACTCACTGAAAACACTCTTTTTTTAGCACAGTTAGTAGATGTGAATGGTTACAAAGGCAGGTACAACTCAAGGATGAAAGTACTGGCACTGACAAGGCACAATCTTTCATTTTTTTTTTTTTTTTTTTTTTTCGGCTTTCACACAATGTGACTAAATAAATCAAACAGTCTTTGGTCAACTGTGCTTGACGAGCATCTACCGGTGTGGAAATGCCAAAGTCAGCCATTTAAAAGTGTTTTGAAAGCTATCAAATGTTCTGCACAATCAGGTCTAAAGCATGAAACAAAGAAACCTGCTGGGTTTCCTAACCAGACACCTCTTCAAACTATATTTCAACTAATCAATATTTTGTCCAATCCCTAACCTTCTTTGCAGCGAAGCCCCCAGCCACAGTGTAATGTTCTCAAGGGCTCACAGTCTGCATATTCTCTCTTTTGAAATCGTTGGTTTTGACACTTTTCCTTTGCAGGGCATCTTGCTGGGTTGCATTCAAACTGAAGCATGCGATTCAGACAGTTTGATTCTGGGCCACAAGGGCTATCATTATCTGGTGAACAGTCACACATTGGTAGTTCTGATGGGTCAATCACTATTCGGACAGCTGTGGTACACTTGTTTACCTGGAGTGAGAAAAAAAAAAGAACAACAAAAAAGTATGTAAAAAAATAACAAACAAAGAAAATGGGACAAAGTCTTATTTCTCATTGTTGTAGCAAAGTTCTTAGCCTTTGAGAATGCACAAATGTGTTGTTGTCTTTGTGTCACAAAAAGATGATATGTGCAATGGTGGTAGAATGAATGAGAAATTTGTTGTCTGTTGATGTATGCGTGTTGAACGTATGAATGTAAGCAAAAGAATGCAATTGAATGCAATCAAATGCTTTCTTTCTCCTCAAAGACCTCTGCAACACATTTCCTGGTTTTTACTTTACCTCCCAAGGTTGCATACCACTGCAATAACAACTGCAAGGAATGGTTCAAGGAGGAAAAATTTCTTGTTCATTGAAATTCATTATAATTGGCAATTTGCACTAATAACAACCTTGATGTGTTTATAAGGTGCTGGTTTCTTGGACATCTTTTGTAGATCCTGTTCAGCTTTATTTTCTTGTGCTGTCCTCCATTCTGCATATTTCTCCTTTGCTTCAACAAGGGCTAAAACAAGAGAAAATATGTACGAGATTCTGATGATGCTTTTTGACCTTGAAAAATGCTAAAAGCAGCCATCTTGCATCACATTCCATGACCCATACACACTCCATAAGCTCTGACGTTTTTCATAACCATTGCAAACCCTTTCATTTTGAGGCTCAAAATAATTTCTGGGCTAGCACCAGTCATGTTGCCCAGTCAATAAATTCCCCCCACCCCCTAGCAAAACCATGCTTTGAGAGTAAAAGCAGCTTCAGACTCCATGCAGTAAAAGTGATACAGCTGAATCTAACCCTGAACTTAGCTTGGAATCAAATTCTTCTTTACATGCATAAACAACCAGACAAAATGTGCAGCCATCCAGAGAGTTGATCAAACAAACCGACAATGACAAGACATTGTCTGTTAAACAACTGTTATTTCAAGCCCTGCTTTTGTTTTAACCCTTTAACTCCGATGTGTAACCAAGACAGAGTTTCTCCTTACAATATCAATACAATCTCAACCAGATAAGTGATGAGAATAAAGAAAAATATCAATTTGGGAATTAGTTGATCCAATACTAAATTCTCTGAACTAATATGATAAGAATTGTATAGTTGACAGTAAGGAGAATTACAAATTTGATCTAAGAGTTAAAAGGTTAAAAGTGTAAACAATTGAAGAACACTTTTTCTGACCTTTTTTGAAAATCTTAGCCAAGTGTTTGCTGTTTCCAGAGTCTGTTGAGCCCTTGTCTCCTTCCTGATAGCTAAACACACGCCCTCTGTGGATCCAATAGTAGTCCCGTGAACCAAGAAACATGACAGGGAATTCCCCTGGCTGATGCCGCATGTTCTGGATGTTTGTGGGTACATCGCGTGGGTTGCAAATCTGTGCTGGCCACCACCTGAAATAAATAAAAAAATGTTAAACCCTTGCAACCATTCTTCATAAATCCTTGGTCAGTTCCTTATCCTCAACCTATCAGATATGAAACTTTTGTAAAATATACTATGTCTCTCAGAAAGTACATGTGCATGCATCATGATTGGTCTATTAAGCACCCTGTATTTCACTGAATAGCCCACTAGCTCAGAAGTCCTTTGAATCAAAATCTTCCCCCTCTTATAGCACCCAGAGAACAGACAGGATAAATACTGAGATCTTGGGTGTTAAAGAGTCAAGAGGAAAATTGTTCAATCTTTAATTCCCATCATCACCCTGCTTGCATCATGTGCCAGAAAAATAACACAGGTTGCACTAATTAGAAGCTGGAAATATACAAAAATAAAAAATAAATATACCATACCTGTACATGCCCAGTTTGACCCAGACAATCTCACCATAAAGCAACTCCTTGCCTTCAGTGCAATCTTTGCAAAAGAAATGTCCTTCAGGAATACCCTCGTAACTGATGCATTCTGGATGAAATGCAGCAGGGCAGCTCTCACAACAAATCAAAGTGCCTCCAATGGAGCACACAAAACACCAGTTCACATTGACATGAGTGTGGTGTGCTTTGTTTTTCTCACGTAAGAAATGTTTTGAACATGCCATGAGATGAGAACTAATTTGAATACAGCCTGCCACCAGGCAGCCAGATAAGTGATATGCTGTGGGACAACGCACACAACGAATCAGTCTTCCTCTCGACACCGATGACTTGTTTCTAACACATGTACTACAAAAATGGAGTGGACAATAAAAGCGATCACCATCAAATTTTGTGCTTTTGAAAGTTTTAACACAGTCCTCGTGGTAGTACTTTGTACACAATTGTTGACTGCACTGTTTGACATTTCCAGTCTGTCTACATACAAAACAACAGTGATTCCCTGTCACACATTCATCGCAAACAAATTTCCCCTTTGGTATGACGGACAGTCCGATACAATCCAAGTGAAAGGCATTTCCGCAAATACCCTCACAAAAGGTCAGATTGTCTTGTAGCTCACACACAATGCACACTGCTTCTTTCTCCTTCTTGGATGTTCCTCCATTCTTAACACTTCCTGTATCCTCTCCTATACTTGATGATGTAACACTTCCAGCCACACTTCCCTCTTTCTCCACCACACCATTCACCTCATAAGCTTCTTTCTTCTTTTCTTCATCCTTTTTAGTTTTGGAATCTAGTTTTGTCTTTTCTTTTACAAGTGTTTTTTCCTTAACAGGTAACACTGCAACTTTGGTAGAACTTAAAACCTTACTGGAAGGTTTCCGTACCCTTTTCTTCTTTATGGGTGATTTAGCAATACTACTCTTTGGTGACGGAGGTAACTCTGTCACACCATCTAGCTTCTTCTTTTCGTTTTCTACATGTACATCATTTGAGTGATTAGACAAATCCTTATCTTGCTCACTTACAATAACAAACTGCGGCTTACATGGCCTTCCTCTTCTCCGCTTCCCTTCTGGCTGGTTTTGTTTTGGTGTAATTTTTCTAATTTTCAACTTAAGCGCAGTGCTGGGTGACACATCCAAGTTTGTTCCAAAAGCAGCAGCATCACCATTGACTTTTGGAGGAGTGCTAGCACCAGCACTGTCAATAAGTCCATTACACTTTTCACGCAACTCTGACACATTCAGATGGAGTTCATCACTCAAATTAATCTTAACTGTTACATCTCCTTGGTCAGTGTTATCTTCCAATTGACCCGAGGAATCTAAAATATTATTTTGCTTCAATGTCCTTTTCTTTTTCTTCATGGGTGGCTCAGTACTTTTGTTTGTGCCACTGTCACCTGAAGCAGCCTTTGCTGCTGCTGCTATAGCTGTCAGTTTCCTCTTACGTTGAACCCGTCCCTTACCAATCTTCTTTTTTTCGTCATTTGGCCCATTTGTACAATGGGACACTCCATTCAGGAGCAGAACATCTGCATCTCCTGCCTCTGAGTGTCTAAGATCAGATGTTTCATCAGCATGTTCATCAATCAAACCATTTACTTGCTCTGGCAGTGATGCAAAACCATTCAACTTTTTCATTTTCAGGGGGTCCAGTCGTTTCGCGTCATTTTTGTCATAATACTTGAAAGTGTAACACAGTTGCCTCTCATGTCTATTCATTGGCTTTGCTTTTTCTGCCACTTTAACTGCTGTTTCCCACTGTACCACTCGCTTTTGTGCAATTTTGAGTTGCTTTCCATGGAGGGAACTCTCAAAATGTTGTCGACCTGAGCAAGGAACAAAAATTAATCAAAGATTTAAATGAAACTTTTCAAACTGCACATAACATACAAATGTATAAATTCAGCAACATCTGCCAAAGTAACTCAAATAAACACTTGCATTCCCAATGCAGTATTTATCTAAGAGTGGCAATAATTTCAAACGATATTTCTAAAATCCCTGATAACAATAATATAGCAATCATTTGCAAGTATGGAGGAAACGGAAACATTTTTTAGGTCCCAATACCTCAGTTTTGGTCATAGTTGACCCCTTCAACCATTAGAGTGGCTGGCAGCTTATTTCTCCCTTTGTAACTTTTAACACAAAAATCAGAATTTAGAACACAAGGTTCTTTTCACTCTATCACACTAAAATGCTGAAAGAGTTTGAAGTAACACCAGTATTATGGTTAAAAATTACCCAATAGTTACCATCAATAATAACAAAACTGTCTAACATTGAAATTTGAATTTCAGATCAGTAAATGCTTTGTATGGCAATCTTACCCAAGTTCAAACAAAACAGGGAGTTTAAGGACTAAGCCGATTCAATTTGACAAAAAGAGTCAGAACTGAGAACACAATGTTCCCTTCACTCTATCACACTGAAATGCTGAAAGAGTTTGAAGTAACACCAGTGCTATGGTTAACCCTTTAACTCCCAGAAGTGATTAACACATATCTTCTCCCCATAATATCAATGCATTACCCAGCATAAAGGTAATGAGAATACTCAGACTTATCAGGTTGAAGTTGTCATCTTGATCCAGTACCACATTCTCGTAACTTATTTACAAGGAAATGTGTAGCAGTTAGAGGAGAGAATTAACAATCAGATCTTGGGAGTTAAAGGGTTAAATATTAGCCAATAGTTACTGTCTATAATAATAAAACTGTATAATACTGAAAATTTGAATTTCAGATCAGTAAGTACATGCTTTGTATGGCAACCTTACCTAAGTTCAAACAAAACAGGGAGTTTATGGACTAAACCGATTCAATTTAACAAAAAGAGTCAGAAGTGTATCTTTCATGAATAACTACAAATGTCAAACTGTACAGATCTCATCAACTGCTCTTTTAAATATAACCCTCTGATAAAGAAAAACATTGTAATTAAATCTAGATTCTATCTGAAAACATCATAATACTTGCCAAGAGAACAATATCTTTAATTGTCAATATAAAGTGGTTCTTCCTTTAAAAAAACTACCAATTGATTTCAGCACAAATCAAGCAGAATATTCTTAAAGAAAAAGGAGAGGGAACCTATTATGGCATTAATTAACTTTCATGTCGAAAAACAAAAAAACAGACTTGGCAGTTTTTGCATAAGTTACTGAGATTAATGGCAAGTACTGTGAAGTGACTTAATGTAAATTGAAAGATTGAATTTAAGAAATATATCCTTTAACAACAAATAAAACTAGTAATGTAGTTATTAACTTTTTGTTTTTATCTGAAAGTTAAATTACCAATAGCAAATCAATAATTTATAGACATCCCAAGATCTTTTAGTGGTGTGGAAGCTAAACTGAAAATGTTTTGTGTGAAAACCATTAATTTCATATGCAACTGCCAAAGGTTTTGTTTCAAATATTGACATTTGCACAGCAAAAGGTCATTTAATTTTTTTGAATCATGATTAAAACTCTCTGAAAATCACAAGGCAGCTAAAACACCTGAAAAGCGAAAAAAGTTAAAAATATCCTTTCCTTCAGCCATTATCTGAGAATCACCAAAAAACTATTTAGATGAAAATCAACGGAATCAGTTGTAGGCCTCCAGATTTGCAATAAAAATGTAACATATTGACAGTGAATTATAATTGGAACTAATATGATGTATCTTGACCAGCTGATTTCTTTGCAAATTTTCATGACATAAAAAGATGAAAGGCTCCCTCTCTGAGAATGAATAATAATGATTACTTATCTATCTTTGAAGTTATATGTTTTATGCAAAATGTGACGTCTTTGAATGAAATAAAAATAATTCTGCACATGGAGTTGATGAACAAATCGAAAGAAGAAAATAACTTTAGCACTGACAACGATTGTATCTTGGTAAAATTCACAGTTTTCTTCTCAAACCAGCTGTCGTATTATTATTGATCATGCGCTTAGCGGCCTAGCGTAATCTACGATGGCCGAGCGCCAAAACAGGTTGTGAGCTCAAGTACACCCAGTGAACTATTTACATGGGAGAGGTGAGATACGAAAACAATTCTCCATAACTTGGGAGAAGGTTCAGATTTGACTCTGCCAAGTCCTTGATTAAATTCAGTTAACACAAATCACAATTCGCGACGAATCTTAATAATTCGTTTCAATTATTGGCGACTGAATTGCCTTGTTTTGAATAAAATGTTAGCAAACATGGCGGAGTAAGATGTAATTTTGATGGCAAAATTCGCACGCAGATTATTTACCTTCGCTGTTTTAGGCAGCCAAGAGAAAAAGAGGTGTTTAATTACGGCACGTAGCAGGAGTGTGTTAAGGTTAATCCCACAATTATCGATAAAACTTGCGAGATTTAAGCAAGATTTATCGTAAAGCAAACCCGTCCAATTCTTAGGAGAGCTAAGACTGAACCTTCGTACCTTCAAATTTCAAAATAGATCGTTCAGAGACCCATCCACGCACAGGATCCTGGCCAAAGAATTGCACATGGTAGTATCTTGCTCTTCCTTTGTACTTGAACGAAACTGCTGTATTTGGGTCGTAAGAAACCATTGAAGGCCACCATGGATGTCCCGGGATCTTCGACCAAACGACATCACCAACTAACCAAGAAGCACTTTGAGTGGGGCTCGATGAGGCTTTACTTTCCTTCGATACGGGGCTTTCTGAAGGTTCAGAAGAGCCACTGTCATCTCTGGTTTCCACTGCTGCCATCCAAGAAGACGACAGAGTTGAAATCCACGCGGTAAAATTAAGTTAAAACAGTGAATCTTTGGCGGCGTGCAGCGACTCTGCGAAGCGTTGCTTGATAGAACAACGGTTTATCAATTCTGATTGGTTCCCGCGACACACATGGCTCAAAATTGGCGGTAGCCGAACACTCATCGACAATTTGTAGATCTCCGAGTGGAAGCGAAAGTTTCCGAATATTTGTCGGGTTTTTTTACATCTATGCAACAAATATTACCAGTAATTGGGAATATACTAGATGAAATATGGAGGATATTGCAGGAAATATCACAAATTATGGAAAAAGTTCATAAACTACGACGATATGACAGTAAACGAAACTAGCCGGTCTCGAAAGAAAGTGAAAAAAGTGCTTTCAAAAGACGATCTAAATGAAGTTCGCACCTCCCTAGTCAGTTTTGGTTTTGTACCTTCCCACAACCCTTTGCTGGGGCATTTTTCAAAATGGCGGACGGCATAGAGGTTCCTGTCCAAGTTAAAATTCACGTTCAAGAAATCGTCAAGGTTGAGTTTGAGATACAAAATAATGTTCAAAGTATACGACAATGCCAGGGGCCATTAAGTCTATTGAACGACTTGAATTTGAAAGTAAAACAAAAGATCAATTCTTTGAGGCAGAAAGTTGAGGTAAGCAAAAATTACTTTATACGTACGACTCGTGAATTTCTTTACATATATTTTGGCGAAATTGGAATGCTACGCTCTGGATTTAAATTCAGACGCTGTGTTTGAAATTTTAACTTTGGATAATAACTGGTTCCCCATACCTGAGAAAAAATAAAAGCAGGAAAGGGGATCTTCACTTCATTCGTCGACGTCGTCGGGCCAGGACTAATGAAAAATTTAATCATAACATTCATGGTCATTTTAATTAAGATTTCGCCTTTAAGGATACTTGATGAAATTAAGAGATAACGGAGCAACTTCAGAATACCCCGCAACTCATTTACATGTCATTGAATAAGAATAGCGTCTATTGTGTTATGCCTCGATCTTCAAAGCCTCCCGACACATGTAAGTGAGGCGGACCAAAGTTGCGGGGTATTCTGAAGTTTAGCCGAGATAACATTTAAAGAAAAATTTGCCAAAATTTCCGAAAAAAAGGAAAGGATATGGCTATTTTCAAAAGCAGTTTTTTTCGTTTACCTACGGCGTGCAAAAAAAATAATGTTAATGAATAACTTGAATGTGTTATTAATATATGTCACAATTTATATGTTATCTTTATAACTGATTACAATATGCATGCATATAGGGTTGGGTGCTTATTGGGTAACAGAGCATCAAAGATTGGAGACTTCCAGGGTTACAACACAGAATTCTGCAGCTAAATTATGATGGCCTGAGTCATGCACTCTGTCTTCAGATGTTATTGAAATTCTGTTCCTATGTAATTTTTTCCTGCTACTTCATTTATTGATGAAAACTCTACCATAGGTCCTGGAGCAAGTGGCATTTGAGCAAGACAAAGAATCAGACAGATTAGCAATATTAGCAGCCATGCAGCATCATAGAAAAGAACTTCAAAGGTATTAGATAATACAACAGTAATTTGACAGGGAGAACCTCTGTTCATGCTTACAATGCTACGTTACTTTTACAATGAAGCTGTAGTAAGCCCAGACCACCCTCTCTATTTGGCCCCCTCTTTAACACTAACATCAGTATGCATATTCTCCATACTGTTCTCTATACATTTCCTAATGTGCTGGAAAGGATAATTTGTTGAACAGTCAAGAGATTCTTCAGTTGATTATCATTTCCTTTATTCTCATGACCTCAATGTTTGATTCAGGGGTGATATTGAAAGGAGAAATTAGATGCTAATCACTCTTGAGGATTAAAGGGTTAATAAGTCTCCCTTGCAAAAAAGTCTCCCTCTCCAACAAGAGCCTGTCTCTGATGTCCCCTTCTCCAATTGGTCCCCCTCTCTTACAAGACTCTCCTCTTAATCAAGCTCCCTGCTCTACTAACCCCCCTCCCTATTTTGTCTCTCTTTATAATAAGCCCCCCTCTCTGTTATAAACCCCCTCTCTCTATAAGGTCCCTATCTCTGATAAGCTCCCCTCTCTGAAAGCCCGCCTCTCTGAGAGCCCCCCTCTCTGAAAGTCCCCCTCTCTGAAAGTTCCCCTCTCTAAAAGCCCCCCTCTTTGTAAGCTTCCCTTTCTGAAAGCCCCCCTCTCTGAAAGCCCCCTTCCCTGAAAGCCTCCCTCTCTGAAAGCCCCCCTCTCTGAAAGCCTGCCACTCTGAAAGCCCCTCTCTAATAGGTTTAAATAAGCACCCTCTCTATTAGGTCTCTCTCTCTAAAAAGCCCCATCTCTAATAAACCTACTTTCTATCATGTGGGTTTTGTAATTTTCAGCCTGCAAGCATCCATTAGGAAAGCCAATGTAGCCTCCATGGCAATAATTGACAAAAGCGAAAAAGAAGAATTGTTTGGAGGACAAGCTTCCAGTGTAAGAAACAGGTAGGTTGGAAAAATAAAACACATTACAACAATTGTTGAACCATGAAATGGACTCTTTCTTATTATGAATCACTTTCAGGGAAGCAAAGTTACCTAATTGTTAATGAGCTAAACTTCAAGTCAAGAGGCCTGGGTTCAAGTCCTGGCTGGATCATTGCATTTTGTTTTGTAAAGGTGATTACATGATTTCAAGTGCAATTTGGAATGAATAAGCAAAAGTAAACTTTTTCAAAGACTAGCAAAATTGCACAAGCCCTACATGCTTGTGCAATTTGTGGTCTTCAAAAAAATTTACAAGAGCTTATTCATTCCAAATTGCACAAGAAAAATCATGTGATTACGTATTAATAATATACATGAAAAAATTTGAGATAGCTTATCATAATTAGGCTGAAGCAAAGTGTGCGCATCAAGTGCAAAAAAAATTTATTCAAACCCTGCAAGTGAAATTGTGCTATCAGTCAAAACAACCGTGTATGATTAAAACAATAATATACAATGATATTTTCACATCTTTAAGGCGCAAAAAAGTTCAAAGTCTGGCTAAACAGTTCAAGGAATTGTTCAGTCTGGTTTGTTACTTCTTTGCACTGAATTAGCCCTCTTCTGCATTGAATTACCTGGAAACTGCATTTATCTTAAGCAATTAGAACTGAGTAATTTTTTCATGTATATTTTTATGGGCAAAACATTTTAGTCTTACACTGCCTCTATTTACCCAGGAATATAAATGGTTAGTGGAAAGTTGGCAGGGAAGCTTAACGAAATGCAGGGGGTGTAACCTTGACAAAATGCTGGGGATGTAACCTTGGGATGGACTGGTATCCCATCCAGGGTGGAGTGGTAATACTTCTAGTTGCTTCATGCTAATGGTAACCTGGATAATCTCCAGCTGGATGAGCTACTTGGCTTGAGTACAAACTTAAGCATCTTTTTTAGCATATAAAACTTTCTTTTCAAGCAGTAGGTCTGGGAGATTTCTTTCTTCAATACACTTTCTCCTTCCTTTGTTTACCCTTTAACCCCTATAGGTGATCAAGAGAGACTTTCCCTTACAATATCAATATAATATTATGCTGACAAGTAATGAGAATAAAGAAAAATATTAATTAGGGGATAAGTTGATCCAATTCCAAATTCTCCAAAGAAACATGGTAAGAATTGTATGGCAGACAGTAAGGAGAATTACCAGTGAGATCTGGGAGTGAAAGGGTTAATCGTTACTTATTGTAACTTAGTTTATTCCATAATGATTATTAAGTGATTCACTGCTCACCTCTGTGTTACTTTTCAGAACCTTTAACAAAGAAAATTTAGCAAAGACTGCTAGTAACATAACTCAAGATTTGATGAGTATTGCTAGGATGATGGATGGTCAAGTCAAACAGAGTGAAGCTGATATGCAGATACTAGGTAAGATCCACAAAGAGGGGCGCTCAAAGTTTACTATCATTAACCCTTTAACTCCCAGAAGTGATTAACATCTAACTTCTAGCTGCAATAACCCTACATTATTCAGCAAACAGGTAATGAGAATACTCAGACATATCATGTAGAATTTGTTGGTTTGATCTAATACCGAACTCTTGTAACTAACATCAAAGGAAATATGTAATAGCTTGAGGGGAGAATTGACTATCAGATCTTTGGAGTTGAAGGGTTCATAATAATTATTAAGCTGTATACGATGACCTTGCTTGAATAGATTTTTCTTGCTGTTGAACAGTTATAATCATTGTGATAGAGGTAATCATAAGATCTTGACAAATGTTGTGGTTATTCATTTTGGTGAAGAACAATGAATTAAGAAATTGTATTATGGTTAGTGGCATGATTGAATCACCCTCTGTCATTTTGAATTGCTTTGTTTTGACAGCGTAATGCTGAGAGTTGGCAAAGTCAAATGGTTTTACAGACCTTAATTTAACCATACTCCAAAACAATTTCAAGATCAATGTCAGTATCTGAGCAACTGCACACTTACCTCCCCTGACCCAACATTAACCCCAACTTGTCATCAGTTAACTGTTGTTGGAGTAGGGGAAGGGTAGGCCCACAATTTCTCAGAGGCTGACACCGTTCCCATTTTTTTTGTGTTTACTGCACAATTCATCAGTGTTTTTGTCGTTGTAAATTTTTTTCAGCACAATCTTCTTCTCAAGTTAAGGACACACAAGAAGAATACAAAGGTTTATCAGGAGTAATTCAGACAAGCAAGAATCTTCTGAATAAGTATAACAGAAGAGAGGTGACAGACAGATTATTGATTTTCTTTGGACTTGTGCTGTTCTTCTCTACAGTTCTGTACATTTTAAAAAAGAGGCTCCCAATTTTTGGGGGCTAAATCTTATATTTTGTTCATTTAACTGTGCATAAACAAAAATTAAATTATATTATTGATAATTCATTGAGAATATTTGATATCAGAATTGCATTTTTTAGAATACAGTTTACAGACTTAGAGGTAAAAGTCTAACTTCTAGGCAGTCAGTATTTATCCTCTGCATATTTTAAAATGCTACTTGCGGGCTTACAATAGTTAATGGAAATTTCTTTCTTTTCAATCTTCAATAATACAATTTAAAAAATTTTCTGAAAAATATTGCCATGAGCTCAAGTGCTATACATTCTTTGAGCAACTGCTGCGATGAGGGCAGCTCCTCTGCCTGAACCATCCTTAGATAACATCAGGGTTATGTTAGCTTGGGGTAAAATTTCTCTGAGAGTCTCTTGCATATAGCGTTTGAATTGTGGGTGATTTTTGAAGAGGCTTCCATCAACGGCAATTGTAGTTGTGTACTTCCCTGTTTTCTGATTACAAAAATAATGAATTCAAATCATTCTGTTAAAATGTAAGAATGTCATAACAAAAACAGAAATCAAAATGAGTATCAGGATGAACAGAAACCCTCATGCCTAAAGTGCTGTTTCTGTTAGAATCTCACTTCTAATTGGTTTTGCCTTCTCAACAAACTGACATTTCAAAACTATCTCCAGTGCTTATGGTCTTTTGAGTTTCACATTAATTACTCAGGAGGAATGAAATTATAGTAGCTGATTAAAGAGGGAGCCAAAAATCTTAGACTGAAAAAGATTAAACTGAAAATCTACTAAAATTTGAATTTATAACTGTAATTTTCATTCCAAGAGCCAAGAAGGAAAATGACATTTCTTACAATTATACTATACACACCTTGACAATTGTAGCAACCCCTGCTGCAGCCAGTCTGGCAGCTCTTATGGAAACTGCAGCACATACTCGCTGCAAAATCTCAATATCAGATCCTGTTGCTTGTTCATTGTCCATTTTCATATCTCTTAGAACCTCATCTATCTGGTGCTTTTCCCCACTGTTAGAGAAAGATATATAATTGTTTTTCATTTGTCCTGAGGAATATGATTAAGCATTTATTTATGACGATTACAGTGCTCTAATTGTTTGCTCTGCTCTTGGGGACCAATCATGATTCATATCTACGGGGGAGGGAGGGGGGGCCAGTAATAAATAATGACAGGTCCCCTAGTCAAATACCTTTCAACCCAAGACACAAACTCAGCAGGGAAGCTGTCTTTAGTCCTGAATTTTTCACTGACTTGTCCCTTGAACAGCAGTTTTTTGTCAACCAAGTCCATGCAAACAATGCGGACAAGTTCACCAAGGTACATTCCAGAAATCATCTTCTCAAATCTGAAAAAGAAGGAAAAATTGCACAGATTTCCAACATGGAGGTTTCTTAGAACCCTGATCCCTGATCCCTTTATAGTCAATTCTGAGGCCAATTATAGACCCCTTTAAATCACTTTTGGTAGTAGAGTAACAACTTTTTATCTGCAAACCATCCCATTTTCAAATCCCAGCTTATCAGAATTTCTTACCCCAAGCAAAAATGTGCAACCCTATTCTAGTAACTTGAAAATGCAACCCCATTAAAGTCAATTTAGTTGTGAAAATGTAACCCCATTCAACAGCAAATCCCCATGAGCAAATTACTAGAAAGTGCCCTGTTCTCCCCCCTTAAGGATTAAGATGCATTTTTCATTATATGCACAAATAACTTACAGCTGTTTATGAGAGTTACTGGATTCTCCAGTGAGTTTTTATCATACTCTGTGAGAAGATGATTTAGGGAGCCATTTTTTCACCAAAAAGTAACAACTTGGATTTCACTTACAATTGCATTCCAGGATTCAGGGAATTCTTGTCGACCTGTTCATCATACTTTGTCCGAACATGATTCAAGCTTCCATTATCACCAAATGCACCCCATTCTGTGTTAATAATCACCTGTCGTGGTTCATCTCTATCTCCGTCCCATTTAGGGACATTATCAAGGTGCTCCATGTAGCAAACATTGGTTCCAGTTCCTAAGATTAACCCAGCGCTGACTGATGGATTTTTAAATGCACAGGACATCATTGTACCTGTGGTGTCATTGACAATGGCTAACACTTCCACATTAGAACCCTGTGGAATAACAGAGATTATAATTTTTCTTTACTTATTGTTCAAAACCATGTTAAATTCATGCTGTTCTCCTAGAGTCCTTAACATTCCTTCCCTATTTTTTTTCCTCTCACTAAATTCTGTATATGACTAGTTGAAACCCCATGAAGAACTGAAAATGTGTGAAATATATCCATCCATGTCGAAAAATTCCATGATCACTAGACAAGTCAAAGTAGTTTTCATATTCTCCAAATTAATAAACTCACCATCCCCTCTCTTCCAAGTGCCTCCTTAAGTAGTTTGACAACATCTTCATTTACTACCCCAGAAGCAGTAAATCCCTTTGTCCATCGAGTCAAAAACCCCGACGAGAGTGATGATTGCTTCACTGGAAAAGAAAATGTAAACCCAAGTGGCAGCAATTGATCATTTAGCTCATGTTTCTTGACAAAGAGAGAAATATGGTGAGCGATGTAATTGAAAAACGTTTCAGCATCACTAGTTTTTATTGTCTGGTCGAGAGGTGGGAATTCAATTTTGTCTTTAATTTCGCCATTTTGTATGGAGATTGATAGCACCCTGAACTTTGTTCCACCAAGATCCACTGCAAGGAAGTTGCCAGATTCTGAACCATCAGGTATCTTCCTCACATAAGTTGGAAGCATTTTGACCGGGCTGTTCGCTCGTTCGTTTTCATCTGCAGAGAGGCCTCTATCAAAGTCTTTCCATAATCTATTGGTGATTTCCAGGATGGCTTCCCTCGACAAGTCAAACGCCCCTAAAAAATCTGATACCTGCGTAAAAAAAAAACAGCTCAACACACATCTTGAAGCTGGTAAGTTACATTAAAACTGTTTAGATTTATTAAGGAGGTGTACTCAGTCTCAAATTAATTTTAACTGTTTGTGCAGTCTGTTCGCCTGGGTGAGAGAAGTCCTGAGAAGGGCTGTTGTTCGTAGTGACTAGCGTTTCAACAGGCTTAGCCTTAGCCTACTCTGATGATGGCTTCTGGTAAGTTTTTCACTTCCGCAAACAAAAATCCTACACAAGCACAAGTCAGCCCATGGAACTCCTTTTCTAAAATGGAGAATCCATTTTTAGAGACATTTGGGTTATTATTTAGGGAACGCACAAACGCTTCAAACTGTGAGCTACCGCCTGCCAATTTTTTGTGGTCGTTTCATTCACAACTGACATATTTCTATAACAGGGTAATAATTTAGAGAGCAGGTTCTGTCTGAACAGGGACCAAATTTTAGAACAAGGTAGCACAAACCTATCCAAAAGATATTCCCCCTTTAGTTTACTGATCGCCCTTTTTAATGCTGAAATTGGTTTAGACCGGTGTTCTGTACATATGAAAAAAAAAGCGGCAAAATCAGTAAGCTTTCCTATTACCTCGTCTCTTTTCGTGAAAGCCCTCGTCAGAGATTCACAGACTAATTGTGCGAAAGATGTGGCTGCAAACATGTTCTCAACTTTCACAGATTCTGCGAGACTCTTTAAATCTGCAAAAAAGGCATTTGAATATTTTAAAAATTAAAAGTGAAGCCTTCAGAAATTGAAGAATTCGGAATATTAGTAGATTAAAGAAAAAAGGAAAGAAAAGGAAATAATAATAAAAAAAAATATAGGAACTCCCATGCCCCGAGCTGTTCTGCTGTCGTCGACTTTGGACCAGATAGAGGAAGTGCGTTTTGGCAAATGTAAGTTAATGAACTTACTTGATAACTTTAAAAACGCATGAATATGTATTAGTTAAAGTAACATTGCTCCTCCAAAGCTTCGTTGGAAACTCGATCGTCTATACAATTTGTGCAACAAAAATTTAACCTTTGTTAGCTGAAGTAAAACCGAAAGAAAGTTATCGATGTGACGGAAGTAAGTAGTGACCTCGTTATCAATCTTAAAGTGGGTGAAGGCAGGAGTGGGGAGGGGAAAGGAGGGGGTTTTAGGAGCTTTAAACCACTTCACAATGGTAAAATCACATGGGCTACCACTGAGGCGTGACGATTAGATAGAAATTAAGAACATAAGGTCAGTTTCCACAGATACCCACACAACTGACCGAGAATTTACAGCCAGACGAAACAATTGACATGAGAAATGAAACAAAAATTAGCGATGATAGTTATTTCAAACGACGTTTCGACGAATTCGAGTAAGCCAAACTACGTCCGATTAATTTTTATCTGTCATCTTTATTTTAAATGTTTCTAATCCTCTTGGTTTTTTGAAACAAGACGCTAGGAGGCGTTGGTCGTCCCCTACACTCACTCTGGATATATGTGGAAAATGATGAATCAATACTGACTTAGTGCTAGCCTCTTAAGCAGACCCGTCACGCAAGCTTCCCTTAGAACAGGAATGAAATCGAAAAATGACGACAAGAGAAGAAAACTCAACAACATGGAGTATTATGTGCGGTCACCCATCCAAGTACTAACCCTGGCCAATAGCGCTTAACTTCCGTGAGAAGCACAAGCACGTGGCTAATTACCATACGAAATAATTCGACTGTAATTTTAAACGTGGTCTGCCTGTGGCATCTATCGTAAAAACACAAAACAATAGCAACAGCAAAAAACGACACTTTCGAATTGTTTTTTTCAAACCACGTTTATTTCTTAAAAATGTACACCAGGTTCATTCTGTGCTGTACAAAACTCCAGCAGTTTTGATAAATATTGCAGCCTTTTGGGTATATCTTGAGGGGGCGTTGTTCTGCAGATGCAGTTTTAAGTATTAAGAACGAATAGTGAATGATAATGTCACCTATGAGTATCTTGAAGTCAAACAAATAACAAATAAACCAAAAAAAAAAATTATCAAACTACTATGTAATAATTGCTACACAAAGATGAGACCAACTATTTAGTTTTTATTATTTACACTTTTTTGTATGATGATGAAAATTGTTTAACCCATTAACTCCCACAAGTGGCCAAGGCAGAATTTCTGCTTATAATATCAATACAATTTCAAGCAGGCGAGTGATGAGAATAAATAATAATAACAATTAGGGGATCGCTAGTTGATCATAACAAATGAATAGCAGACAGTAAGGAGAATTTAAAAAATGAGATATTGGGAGCAAAAGGTTTAACAAAAAGGAGAGTGACTGTGACATGACTGACCTCTTTTTTCTCACAGCTTCTAACTAAATCCCTACGCAACAAAAACATAAAACACTCCTCAGATCAAACCCTACTGTCTAGAAGATTTCCCCTGCCTGGTCAATTCCTCTGACTAAGATACAAAACATGTTTCCTGTACAAGTCAAACTATAAAGAAATAAGCTCTCTTCCGATGACTTGTTAGCAAACAAACAAACAAACAAACAAACAAAATCATATCAACCACAAAAACAATTCAAAATCAAAGTAAGTCTATCACACTAGTTATGGAAGACAAACCTACCAATCTATTCACATTAACCCTTTAACTCCCAAGATCTCATTAGTAATTCTCCTTACTATCTCCCATACAGTTCTTGTGATGTTAGTTTGGAGGATTTAGTATTGGATCATCTTATAATCTCCAAACTGATATTTTTCTTTATTCTCATAACTTGTATGCTTGATATTGTTTTGATATTGTAAGGAGAAATTCTGTCTTGGTCACTCATGGGAGTTAAAAGGTTAAAAATAGAAGTTTCACGCGTCTCATTGCTAATTTTTTGTAGTGACTGAATGGTTTCTCGTTCTAAAGCACAAAATAATACTGGAGGCAAGATGCATGTTTCCTCTTTATTTTGACCCTACTCAGTGATACTAACACAATTAAGCTCAGAGTTTACTGTCCTAACACTTCCCAGATCAATTCTTCTGACAAAGGAAAAAACAACCAATCCAAAAAACATTCTATCTGGAGCTATTATTTCATTCCTGATTTCTAATTTCCTGGGCCAAAATGGAAAATTAAATACAAGATGAACTAGAATTCCTTTAACCAGCAACTACTGTAATCACTGTTATCAAGTGCACAAAAGAAATTTGCAGTCAGTGTTCACCTTGTCAGAATTAAAAAAAACAGTAAATACCTCTAAAAAAAAAAATTAAAAAATAATTCCAAAATATGTTTTTGTGTGTGCAAATTAGTAAGGCAAAGATTGCAAAAAAAAAAAAAAAAAAAAAAAAAAAGAAAAAAATACCTGACTCGATTATATTGTACTTGTTATTGTTCAATTTCATCCATGGTTCAAAGTCTTTGTTTAACACTCATTTATTTAACATTCAATAACACAACTTGAAAATAAGTTGAATTGAATTTAAACCAAGGATAAATTTGAACCAGAACAACCTGGGTTTGAAAGAGCTTTTGTCTGTTCATGAAACTTTTGTTTCACCAAATACTTGTCGTAGTGTTGTTCTAGATTTAAGGTCCTTGTTACTAGCTATTCTATGGCAAAATTTGATTATTGCAATAGAAATATTAAATAAATATTAATGCCACTCAGCTGATGAAAGGCTCAGTGTTTTTCTGATTTTGATGCAACTGCAGCTATGAGAGCTGCTCCTTTGCCTGAACCATCTTCAGATAACATCAAGGTGATGTTGCTTTGTGGCAAAATTTCAGACAGAGTCTCTTGCATGTAACGTTTGAACTGTGGGTGTTTTTTAAAGAGGCTTCCATCAACAGCAATTGTAGTCGTGTAGTTTCCTGTTTTCTGTACATAAAAACAAGATAAAATCAGTCAGAATTAAACAATGCCATGAATGCCACCTTCAGATTGTGTGCTCCAATGCTCTACCACTGAGCCACATAGACTCTGTGGAGTGCAAAAGTAGCACCTTGTATGGTCGTACAGTTGTAGAGTCGTACATCCAAATTTTTTTGGCTTGATGGATTACTACTATTTTGTATAATTATGGGGCTACGCTCTGCGAGCTCCACTAATAGAGAAAAAAAAGATAGAGAATTACAAATTTACAATACACACCTTGGCAATTGAAGCAATCCCTGCTGCAGCCAGTCTCGCGGCTCTTATAGAGACTGCAGCACAAACTCGCTGCAAAACCTCAATATCTGACTCTGAAGTTTGTTTCTCCACTCCCATTTCTTTCAGAACTTCGTCTATCTTGTGCCTTTGATGACTGTCAAAAAAAATTGATAAATAACGAGGATCACTCCTTTAGCCACATAGGAAACTACTGAGGTCTTTCTGAATAACTGCCTGAAATCTTGATCAAAAAGTGCAAGTGGCTTAAAACCCCCCCCCCCCCCAATCACCTATCCAAGTCACACTGAAAAACAGACAATACAGGGACGTAACCAGGATTTATCAGTTGGGGTGGGTGTCATACTGTGTTTTCATCAGGTTGTCATGTTGACTTCCATGCTGTGTTTTAATTGAAAAAAAAAAAAAAAAAAACCTTACAAAGGTGTGGGGGGGGGGGAGGGAGGGGAGGGAAGGAAGGTGTCACAGGCACCTCAGGATCTCCCCAAGTTGTGCCCTTGCAAGAACATGATAACATTATATTTGGTACACTTCATCTGTCACATATTTTCTGTGTTTACCTTTCAACATCAGACACAAACTTGGTAAGGAAGCTGTTTTTGGTCTTGAATTTGTCACTGGCTTGTCCTTTGAACAGCAGTTTCTTGTCAGCCAAGTCCATGCAAACAATTCGGCAAAGTTCACCCAGATACATTCCAGAAATCATCTTCTCAAATCTGATGGGAAATTTAAATAAAGAGAATTCACTACAAGCTATCAAAAATATTTTCAGAGAATCATATGACTATGCAATGCAATCCTACTTTAAAAAACCCCAATTATAATGAAAGTATTCTATATAACACTGCAGTTATATAGGACAGGACCTCTATGTCCAGAACAATGTATGGTCACTCAATGGGACATCAATCATTTACGATAATATGTACTTATCCACTGAGGGGGAGAGTAGCACAAGGTCTATGCATCTTGAACAAGAGCCAAATATTTCCCCATTTGGCCCCACCAAACTCATTCAATACGCATTTTATCACATCTTGTGATATGAACAACTAATTGTTGCAAATTTTGAAAAATGTTTTAAACAGTAAAAACTTTTCCTTTTTTTTCTTTGAGTCTGAACAAGAAACTTGTAATTCACTAAGATGTATGACTTCTTTTCACATCTGTTTTATGCCAAGTTGAATTTCACAAGTTCTATTTAATATGCACTTAGAAAATGCTACTATCGTTCAAGTGCATGGCTGGATGGCTTTCTCCTGACTGACTTTATCGAAACATCCAACTGTACACATGTAAGCTTTCACTACGATAACTTTCAATGGGATTGGGTGTGCAGGGCCTTATGGGTCAAATCATAATACAAATTATTTCCTGATTTATCGATATCTTTTCAAATCATTTACTCATGGTGATTGGCTCGCCTAGTTCAACAACTCAGATTTCACTTACAATTGCATTCCGGGATTCAGGGAATCCTTGTCAACCTGTTCATCATACTTTGTTCGGAGGTGATTCCAGCTTCCGTTATCACCAAATGCACCCCATTCTGTGTTAATAATCACCTGTCGTGGTTCATCTCTATCTCCGTCCCACTTAGGAACATTATCAAGGTTCTCCATGTAGCAAGCATTGGTTCCAGTGCCCAAGATTAACCCAGCACTGACTGATGGATTCTCAAATGCACAGGACATCATTGTACCTGTGGTGTCATTGACCAGAGCCACCACATCCACACTAGCACTCTACAAAACAGCACAATTTAAAAATGAAAAAATCCTATATTAAAAATAAAATTTAAAAAACATTAAAAGCTGTCTGCAATCTTGACCTTCCATTCCCTAAAAAGTTTTTGAGAGCAGAAAGATGTGCAGTTACATGTAAAAAAGAGCTCTCAGCTGATCTGTTGGTACAGTCAAGCCTTACTTATCCAGACTCATGGGGACTGGTCTGAAAAGTCTGGATAATTGAGAGTCAAATTAATCAAACATATGAATTTTTTATCAAACATATCTTTCAAGCTGCTATAGAGTGTGTACATTGTTAACTTCATCATTCTTTGAGGGTGCATGAACTTAACAGCATCAAAAATGTTTAGTCTTCCCATCCATGTTAATTCAACAGCTTTGGAAAGTGGAACAAATTCAGTCCCAATGGGAGTTTGAGTGCATGTGTTTTGTTTGATGGAAAAAAAAAAAGGTGTTGCAATTCTTGAATGTGAGTAATTAATACATTTAAATTGATGGCACCATAGATGTAACTCCAGAAAATTAAAAAAAAAAACACAGATAATCAAGGTCCGGATAATTGAGGTTGGACTGTAATATTATTAAACTTGCGAGAATATAAAAGTCTTCAAAATGTCTTGCTAAGCCTCACATTAGAGGCTTTACAACTCAGAAAGTTTGAGCATTGTACCAAAATCACAATGTTGTATTTCCAAATCCTGAAATTTTTAGGAGCTTTCTCATCACAATCAAAATTTGCCTAATCCACTACAATAATAATTCCATTAATTAATTCTCTAGAAATTGATTTTAAGGGCCTTTCCATACTAGCAACAAAGTTGTTTATTTAGACAAATTTTCAGTCATCACCAACATTTTACAAATGTGGATGGTTTGCCCTGACTTAACAAAATTTTGACTGTAGTGGACAAATCTTCAAATGCACCACCAACAAAATTTGTCCAGGGTAAAAATTTGGCAAAATCGACTAAATAAACAAACTCTGATAAGCTTGTCAATCATTTAACATATAAGCTATGACAAGTGTGTAATTGAACTGAAATCAGTTTACTGGAAAGGCAAAAATTGTATTTTGCTGCAAAACTTGGGGATTCTAAAATTTTACAATGACATAGGATAAATCCCTTCAGCAACTAAGCTGGCTGGTCTTACGAGCAGATCAGGTGCTGACAGAATTTCATGGCTTTCAAATTTTTAATACAAATGCAACAGATGAAACAAAAATTGTCCTTTGATTTTGTTGGGACAATTCTAGTTTGTTTGCTAGTGCGGAAAGGCCCTAACTTAGAATTATAGCTATAAAACTCACCACTCCATTCCTTATAAGTGCTTCATGCAGCAATTTGACAACATCTTCATTCTCCACTCCGTCAACACTGAAACCCTTTGTCCATCTTATCAACAGGCCAGATGTCAGTGATAACTGCTTTACAGGAAATGAAAATGTGAACCCCAATGGCAGCGACTTTTCACTTATTTTGTTTTTCTTCACAAAGAGTAATATACAGCCAGCGATGTAGTCAAACAGAGTATTTGCATCACTGGTCATCAGATTTTGGGCCAAAGGATATATTTCACTTTCCATATTGACTTTGCCATCTTCAAGTGAAATCTTAAGAACTCTGAAGTTTGTTCCACCTAGATCCAAGGCTAGAAAGTCACCTTCTTCGGAGCCATCAGGAATGGCCCTTACATATGTAGGAAGCATTTTAATTGGGCTTTCTGCTCGCTCACTTTCATCAGCAGAGAGCCCTTTTTGAAAGTCACCAATAAGAAGACTCATGATTTCCTGTAGTGATTCATTGGACAGGTCAAATGCACCCAAAACCTCTAGCACCTGTGATGAATGAAACAAATTGACAAAAGTTTAATTTGTAATTTGATTTTTTGATTATTATTTAAGATTGGATGTTCTACACTGAAAGTCACTAATAATTGTCTTTTAGTAACATCTAACTTAATTGTTTGGTTCTATTTATCAATGACCTGAAACATCTCAGGGGATTCCCAGCTGCTTCTAAATGACCTGAAAATTGAGTGCTGGCAGCAAGAATTAACCCTCTATATTTTAACATCAGTATGCATACTCTTGAAACTATCCGCCATACACTTCCTATGATACTCGCAAGGAGAATATGTTTAACAATCACAAGCTTGATGATCATTTCCTTTCTTCTTTTAACCCGAATGCTTGAATCTTAGGTGAAGTTGTAAGGAGAAATAAGATGTACCAGGGCAGGTCAAATTCTTGGGGTTAAACAATACTCAAGGAAAAAATAATCGACTAGTACAAAGTATGTCCAATCTACTCCTATAGAGGTGTATTGTACAGCTGAATTGATAGCACAAAGTCATGGTTACACACCTCATCTCTTCCTGTGAGAGCTTGAGACAAAGTCTCATATAATGACTTTGCAAAAGGAATAGCTGAAAACATGTTGCCTGATAATAAAGGGGACAAAATCTGCAAGAATAAAAAACAGAATTTGACGTTTGGATTGGTATGTAACAATAGGAAAAATAGCTAAAATTTAACTAACAAACAGTGGAACAACCACCCTAAAAACCTGGGAAGGGAGGGCTAGATGCTGGAAGGTGTGCAGATTGAAGAGGGTAGCAAAGGGTTTCTCTTATTTTTTTGTTAACTATTTGGCAAGGTAAGGTAAGATTTGAAGAGAATATACTGCCTCAATTTGTTAAAATACTACTTCCTTTGAATTATGAAACCGTCAAAAGTGAATCAGAGTTTAGTTTTCTGTCTGGCTCTTTAGACAAATAACTACTAACATCTTTCTAAATTCAACCACAGAGCTCCAAGTTTGCCTTCTAGTTACACTGTTTACATGGGGTAATTTCTAACAACAATCAATGATGCACTGTGCCAATAAAGACAATGTTACATTGAAGGTAAAATAGCTCTGGGTTAGTACGAACACCCAAGAAAGCCCAACTGATCAAAATTTATCCCCTTACCAGTATTACCCATATCACGCTCCTAGCTCGACAACTAATTGTTTTCTTTCTAGATACAAACTTGTTAACTTGGCTCAGAGTAGTAGAAAGATCATCGCAACTGTATCAACATCTCAACGGGAATTGGAATTAAGAACTACCATGATTATTCATCACCAATAACATCAAATATGCATAAAACAGGATTACAATTATGCAAAATAATAAGCTTACAATAAATGGCCAAAAATTGGCAAATGATTTTTTCTCGTTTACCGCACCCGGATGAGAATAATATCGATGCGCTGCCGTGATTGCAAAAGTTATAAATAAAATCGTGACAAGTGATAAGCGCTTTCCCGGGCACTCAGACGGTAGAGAAGTTTGCGCGCAGACACAATATAATTTAGCCAGCTGGGAAGATCGACCGAAGCCACTTTCGTTTGACGCATGTGGTGGCAATTACCGCTTTAGAACTTCAAACAACAGAAAGGCAGTGACATTGACGCTCGAGGACTTCAATATAGCAATTGGTCAACAAATTACCTGAGTTGATTGGAATCTTGTGGATATAGATAACTCTTTACACTTTGGCCTTTGAGAGCTCAGTATTTAGAGTCGAATTGGTAATAAGCGTTGTAAACGATGCAAACAGCTTAGATACTACTTCTCTAGGTGTCGCAATAGCTCTGTGAAATCGGCGTTGATGTTATTCTAGGCGATCGAAAGAGGCCTCAAGCGTAACCTAATACAGTACTTAAATCGACGCGAAATTGATTTCCCCGCAGAAAGACGCCCTTCAGCCGCTCTTTACGTAATCACTTACCCTTGGAGTACTTTCGGAAATGTTCGAAAGTTCTCGGTTTCTGTGTTCGGAGTGTACGAGAACTTGATCGATTACGAATACATGTGTGACTTAGCATTCGTTTCGTAGAAGCGTGGAAACAGTTTCTTAAAATCCGTACGTTATACAAAAAACATCCCTACAAAGACTTTCAGCATTATGAGACGAAAAAATAACTTTGACGTAAACAAACTGATTCAGGCATGTGAAACTTTGACTCAGTCACTCGAGATTTTTCGCGGAAATCCGACAACGTATTCGGCCAATCGGGTAGAACGACACCCAAAAATTCGGAATATTACCCTTCGGGGAGGGAGGTAAGGAGAACCTTGACCTTTGGAACTTTAACGTCGCAAGGTTGCAGTTTCGTGACAAGGTTTTCATTGATTTTTTTTTTCAACAACTTTTAGAAAAATATTAAAAATATAAGATGTATTTACCACATTTTTGTTGACCAGACAAAAAGCTTTAGATAGCCCAGGCTCGCTACACGGATACATCTTTACTCATTGACCTCATTATGTAACAGTTCAAAGTTGAGGATTTCTGCAAGTGAACATTTGTATCAAGAAATTGAAAAATATTTGGGATCAAAAAGCAAATACTTACCTCGACGTAGAGGTGCGAGTTTTTTGTTTGTTTGTTTGTTTTTGTTTTTGTCTCTGGTGTGGTTTTGGGGCCGATTCATGATGAAGCAGGCTAGTTCTAGCGCCTTCGCTTTTTCCGAGGTGCAATATATCCTTCCGATACATCTGGATACATATAGAAAAGGGTGTATTGACACAAAAAACCACACCGGAGACAACGCACAACTAAGGAGAGGTCAGCTACTTTTTCAAGCGTCTAGGTCATTTGTGGGTTTCTAAATGCAACCTTTTCCCTTAAAAAAATAATAATATCTATAATGTTGCATAATGACAGTAGAGTGCAGGTGTAAAAATCGTGGACCTATGCTGGAAGGATTTTGCTTAGAGTGAACTGTCCGAATAAACATAACCAAATTAAAAGACATGGGAGCATTAACGTTTGATAGCGTTGAATTTTTCGTTTTAGACTGTTGGCAGCGATGTGGCATTTCACTCTGAAAGAAATAAGAGTACCAAATTGGAACGACCCCAACGATAAAGGAAAATCGACAGTGACACTACCACTTTGTACCCTTTGCTACTCTGCCGTTTTTGAATCTATTTTTGCCTCCTTAATTTTGTAATAGAAAATTTATAATATAACAAATGATAATTGTAAATTTGATCTTTATGATATTTTAAGCTGTATGATGTTTTGACGTTTACAGTAATCCTCAGGTGTCCCACAGGTGTCTTTTTTTAGATCCTTAAAAACCGATACCGTGGGAGAAAGTATCATACCGTACACTTCTTCGACCTTTCAATGCTAGTCTACGATTGAAGTTCCCAAAGTTGTTTCCAAAAATTATGGCATTTCATATGAACAACGCTAAGCAGCCCCCATGATGATATCTGAACATCATCTCACAAGATAATCACTTGCAAGGCTTTTTTTTTAAGCCAAGTGAAAACCAGGTAACCTCTTTATCACTGCGTGACGCTTTCATACAAAATGGCGTGAGCTTGCAAATAGTGTCGGCTCATATAGTAGCCAGCGGTTAATTTTCTCACAAAATGGTGGATCATGCCGTTGAATAAGTCAAAGAACTACACAAGCACGATTGAAACAAAATATGAGCGTAAATGAAAAGAATCAGATGAACGAACAGGTATCCAATGTAATCACAAGCTTTTTAAAGCAGCGAAAGTACACGGAGAGTGAAAGTTCTATGAAGGACTTCTCAGTGGAACACAAAATGGAGGACATGGCTTGCAAGAGGACGGTTTGTAACGAGAGTGGCATTCCTAATGTATTCTCATTTGCAATCAACAGTTCAGACCCAGCTATGGTGAATGAACAATTCTCCAGTCTGAAATCGTTCATAACGGGTACAAACCCGGCTTACAGAGTGGAACTTTCCAAATTTTTGTTCCCGATGTTTGCCAACATCTATTTGGATCTTGTTGCGAAGGGACAATCGATTCCTGCTCAAGAACTTTTCACAAAGCACAGTGGCGATTTTCCGATCGAGCACAAAGAAGAAATCCAACATTTACAAGCGATAACGGACTTAGAACGTTTAAAATCCAGCGATACAGCGTCCAATTTTAGACGGAGTAAATACGTCGTCAAACTAAGTAACAAAGTATTTACTTATTTCGTCCAATTTCTGAGAAGTGGCGATCACGTGCTATTACTTCATCTGTTGAACAAACACTTTAGCATTGAGATATCGCATAGTAAACCAGGACAGAAGCAAACCAGCGATGAAATGGAAACGGATGAAACAGAGGCACCAGTGTCAAGTTACAGAGCCACAAGAGGCGGTAAACAAGCGAAATCTAGCTCAGAAAAAGAAAACGAGAGCCTGGTAGCTTTAAAAGAAAGCATCGGCCATATCAGAAATGGACCTGCTTGTCTACCCCCAGTTTGTTTCCACTCTTTTGTGAATGCTTACCAAGGGTAAGAATTACATGTGAAAAGTCAATCAATGACTCTCCCCTGGGCAGCAACCCTGCAGATTTTTTCATAAGGGGTAAACCCTGGGGATTCTCCCCCTAGGGGGACACCCCAGGGATTCTCCAGTTTCTCTAGCAATTTAAAGTTACTGCTACTTGTATTCAAGATTTTAGCCTGTTGTAAGTCCTCTCTCCCCTTTCCTGAGTCCTCCCTTCAAAGCAAAATGAAAGTTGTGCAGTTCCAGTGTTGCATAACTGTAGTGAGGATAGTGATGATAAAAGTGATGATAAAAGTGATGATCATGAGCAGGGGTGACTCATCAAAAACCACATATCTGACAAATTTCATTCCCTGTTGATCAAGGATTTTTATGTGTTTGTTTTCCACTTGCTTCAGCCTTTTCATTCCCATCTCCACAAATCACTAAATCTTGCATTCTGTCATACATTTCTTATAATGTTAGATATAAAATTTTGTGTTGAATCAGGCAATTTCCCTTTCAATAATATTTTTGCTAAATTCCCACCTCAAATTAGCCTAATATTGTGGTGAAATTGCAAGGAGAAATGATTTTTTGGTCTCTCCTAGCAGTGAAAGGATTTAACAAATGTTGATAGTATGATAATAACTATCTCAAATATACCATAATTTGATTTCAAATATTAGAATTTTTCATGAAAAAAAAGTGTGCAAAATATCTTTTTGAATTTTGTTTTTCCTTATGCTTTTTTTTTTTTGTTCCAAAGATTAAGCTCTGCTGCTATTTCTAAAGATGCTGGTCTTATTTGTGGTGGCTTTGAAGATTCCTCAATTCTTCTGTGGAGTTTGACACCAAAGAAACTTGTGCGATCAAAGAGTAAACCAGAAATTTCTAAAGTACAACTAGCACCAGGTATGAATGGGTGTCTGTAATCTAACAGCACAACACGCTTTTTCGAACTAATTTGAATTTTGTAATTTGTAGGCAGTTTTGGTATCATCTTTTGGATATGCTCTGGGTAGCAGGTTGAATGCGACACCAAGAAGTCTGCATTTGAGCCCTTTTCCTGTGACTTCATGTTTTGTATTTCTGTTAGATGTCTCAGTCTCACAAGAAATCTCACTGATGAGAATGTGCAAATCAGTAAATTGTTAAGGAAACTTCACAAAGTGCAGGAGTTTACCCCCAAGGGAGGAACACCTCTAACCCTTTACATGCTATCTTCAGGATGCATATTCTCCATACTGTTCTTTATACATTTCCCATGTTACATACAAGGAGAATTTGTCTAACAATCAAAAGTATCTTGATTTTTCAATCATTTCTTTCATTCTCATGACCTTAATGTTTGATTCAGGGCAGATACTGTTGGTAGAAACTGGATTCTTGTCACTCTCTTTTCTGTTGATGAAGCACAACAGTTTCCTTACAGTCAAATCCATTTTCCATATATAATTTTGCTTTGTATATCTAGATTTTCTTCCATGCACACCAAAACTGGAAACTGTGTCCTGTGAGAGTGTTTCTCTACATGGTCACAGTGGCCCAGTGTATGCCACGCAGTTCTCACCAGACAGTTCTGTATTATTGTCAGCATCAGAGGATACAACTGGTGAGTTTAAAATTAACATAACAGAATTTTATTTTTGGGTGGTTACACCAAGGTGAAATTATCAGATCACAAAGCCGACATATCTGACGAAATCAGCTAAACGACATCTCCTTTGAAACGAACACGCTAATATGGTGATTATCTGATGATAATATCAAGAAACGAAAGTTTCTATAAAACGATTAAATTAACTATGTAGACTTATAAATACTACGACTGAATAAGAAACAGATCAAGAAAGAGAAAATCCTCTTTTTGTATTATGAACGTAATTCAGTTTTAAAATACCTCAAACAGTCAACAGGATTTTTAGTAATAACAAGGTTATTTATAGAACGGATTCCCTCTTGGCAAAAACAGAGACGAAGAATATTTAACAAAAAGTGTAGAACAGTTTTCCTCGTTTCTTTTTGAAAAGGTACAATTTCAGCTTGCAGAAACTGGATTGTAAGCGGTCAAACAGGAAAATTGTTCAGCACGCGCCGCACGTGCACTCTGTGGAGATCTCGTGCATTATGTAATACGGATCGGACAAGCAACTCTTAGCGGGACTTCTAAAAACTCCCCAGGGAAGAAAACTTTGCCCACAGATATCAAAGAGTGAGGGTATTAGGATAAAGCTGACGTGTCTTATCTTTAGCTTTCGTAAATGTCCTTTCGCCTATGGATAAACTGAACTCGTCAAAATAAGGCATTGATTCTTAAAAAATGTCCTCAGCGGCTCTAAAATTCACCCCTTGCTTCGTCGATACCAAGGTCTTCATATGAGTGATGTTTTGATTTCGGTAATTTGTGGATATTTTTTTTCATAAATTCACCTGTCCGCACTTTGAAAGCGGGCCTTGACGGTGAAGTTGGGTACTGCGAAGTAAACCTGGTTACAGCCTATTTTACTTTTAAATACTTCCTTCAGATGGTGAGTTTCCTATTTACGCCGGCACCTTCCCTTTTTTTTTGTCACCACGGAAAATAAAATCGATTGAGCGTTGTTCACCTTGGATGCAACTGGTTTGACAGTTTTTGTTTGTTTTTTTATTTTCAGTCAATGTCAGTGTTACTTTAGGTTTCGACACTATCCAGGAGTGAAAAAACAATTGTTTTATTTTTCGTTACGCATACCTTGATACTGATTGTTTTTAACGATAAATTTTGCCTTCATTGTTTAAAGGTTATTTTTCTTTTAAACAATTCTCATAGGTTTTTGCCAAGTTTTAGGGCTAGACCAAACTGAGAAACTCACGCAAAGAGGTTGTTTTATTCAATAGTTTATCGTGATTTTACGTCAAGAAAGACCTTCGCATTATTTTTTTGTTGTTTACTATGTCATCGTGGTTTCATTCGGTTGAATTCTCTCCTCATTCATTACGGTTAAAATTCTGCTTTCAGTTTTTGGCTAAGATTCTGGCCGTGCGCCAAAAATGTTCGCGGAAAATATCATTGTCAAAAATAGCTTTCAACTGGATTCTTCGAACAGTTGATGTCTCAGAATGCTCCCAGACCTCTCAGAATTTATCATGCCTCTTGGTTGGAACTGAAAGATTATTTTAACTCAAAACCTCTTGGAATCGTGTTTTTATTCCCTTTTCATGGCGATTAATGAAAAAATTTCCGTTCCCGCCACTTGGATCCGTTTACACTGAGAAAACTTGACCACTGCGAGAAAGTCAAAGTTCAGGAGTTTCGCTGATCTTCTTGCGAAAAATTGCGCCAAAGAACGCGGACTGGGTATTTTAGCCGATCTTAAGGGTTTCCGTAGTCGACGGAGGTTTTTTGTTTGATTTAACGCAGTTCGCTCATATCCCTAGTTCCGGCCTTATCGAATGGTTATTTAATACCGGCTTTTATTTTTTTTTACTTATAACATAGATGTTTATATAAACAAAAAAAGGTTTTCACAATGTTTTCTATTTAAGGTGCTTAATTAATGCTGATAAAGTAAACAATAACTCGACTTCAGTTTCGCGTTCGTTAGCCTCGATTTTCAAAAGGCTGAGCTTTTAATTTCTCAGACGGAGTTTTGTTTTCTTTGGAGTTTCAAGGAGTGCAAACTCTCGACTTTGAACTTTGTCCATGAATTTATTCCTTTTTCTTAGGAAAAATTCTATGCAAATGCTTTATCATCATTATCATTCATACTCTTAAACTGACAGATCCCATACGAAAGGAGTTTAAAAATTTCAAAGCAGGCAATTATCTCGCCACGTTCTAATTTATGGGTTTCATAATCCAGAAACTTTTACAGTTAATCGTCCCGCATTTTCTTAGCAGAAAGCGCAAGAGACCTTGTCCCGAAGGGTAAATTCGGAGGAACTTTTTTTTTCTGCTTAAGTACTGACTTTATTTCAGGCTATAGGCGGCAATCATACGCGTTCCAGACCTAGTTTCCACTCTCCCTGCTCGTTTTAAAATGACTTCTTCAAACGCTGCGCAAAATTTTAGAACTGTCTCTCTCTCTCTGGTTTTGAAGAGGTAAATCGCTAATTTATTTTCATACTGGCTTCCTCTCATGAATGCCTTTACGTTTTCTTTTAAAATCCCCACATGCAATTCTGTGGTAAATTTAAATGACCAATTCCCGATTTAAAAAATTAACCCCTTGTTTCAAGACTATAAGTTTGTCTTTTAATCGCACTTTTGTTCGGGCAAAAGTTTGATGTTCTTTTGCTATAATACTGAGCTTTGCTTAGTGAAAATTCGCAGATGTAGGTGTATGTTAAAAGCTGTTGCGAGTTTCGCTTAAGTGAGCTAATTTCCAGAGAAATACACGTAATTCTTATTTCACGGCGCGAACAAAAGCATCCGTTCCCAGTGCGAAGGAGAACTAAAATAGTGTCCACTCTCATCATCTCTTGTGATCAAGTGAAGCGAACGTACTTAAGAATCGACGCGATGTCTGACGTCGAACGAGCCATTATTATCATGGACTCTCCTCCAAACAATCTAGGATCGATCCATTTGGACAAGAATATGCAAATCGTCGAGGGCACTTGATATGCGTGTATGGTTTTGGTCGATCTCGCAGTTCATGTTATTTTTAACGCTAAAAAAAATTATCATATTTTGGTGGATGCAGACTAAGCATCGACAGACTCTCTTGGAAATCTTACCTTTTATCCGCCTATTTTAACGCCTATCTCCTTTGCGACTAGCCTCAATGTTTATAGTTATAATTATAAGTGTTTCTTCCGTCTGCAGCTTTTATATTTTCACCTGCGACCTTTTTGAGTCATGCGTTGGTCCCGGGAGAAGCACAGATTTCCCAATCTTTGGAGCAGAAAATCCTGTTGCATAATAATTTAAACTATATTGCACGCGCCGGCAACAGGAGTATATTATATAAGCCCACGCAAAATGTGGTAAGAGTTATTTATCGGTTTAACAGATGATCCTTTCAAGTGTTCCAGAAAGTTACTTAAACGTGTAGTCGCTCAGTTTTTCTCTTCTCATTACAAAATGCAACCAGTTAGAAAAAGATTTGTTACTTAATTGACTCAATTATTTTGCTTATCGAACGTGTAGTTTAGAAGTGTGAAGATTTGTACCTCTACGCCGGGCATTCCTCTAAGTTACTACGCTAAGTCCTTTTCCCCACCCACCCATCCCCTGGTCTTATGCGTATGTGTATCTTCAAGTTTAAACTCATACGTAGCATAACTTCCAGAGTGGCTTTAATCTAAGAGATTCTCGTGGATAGCTATGGCTAATCCGTCTGTTAAAATGCTATTTATCTATTATAGTTTGACGCAATTGCATTAAGGTGATTCCAGTGAGTGTGCCAGTCGTTTTGCACTGAAGACCGTAGATCAAAAGAAGTTTGTTTTGATTCGGCAAATGTCTTTCAGTAAGCAGAAATTGTTTAAAAAAATGCATGAAAATTGTTTACCTCGCATAACACCTTTTTTATCGCGTGGAAACCATTTTTGTTATTATGCAATCATTGTACCACCCTAAAGCTTGGGAGACCTGTGGATAACGTATGATGTTTCCTCTGATCGATTACCTCGACTGAAGAATTAGAATTTGATAGTAGATTGTGCCAAAGGTAATGGTAACTCAGAAAGGGAAGGTTATTGTCTTTTAGCAGCGCAAATTTCTAAGGTGATGTGACGCTCTGTCTTTGAGTAATTGCTCTCCAAACTGAAAAAAGATTCATATTGACAAGGAGTTCACGGGGAGATAGCTAAGAAATATATCTTTTCATGGCGAAAAAAAAAATTTCGTAGCGAATAATTGACGAGGAGCGATGAGTTTTAGCATTGGTTTAAAGGGCAAACGAGGTCCTACATTAACTCTTCTCTAATTGATTTTGCCCGCAAAGGAATTAACGAATTCTATATCACCTGAACAGAATCTGTCTATTTGCTTGTCTCTTGTGATTTCCACGTGTTCAGCTTAATCGTACGTAGAAATCTTCCACATTCCTTGAATTCTTTCCTTCATGTCTGGGTAAGTTGCTAGCCAAGTGCAACAAACAGGAACGATATTTTAGTTCATGATAAGAAGTTTGTCGAGAGGAATTTTTGGTTTTTCTAGTGGTAGATTGAGCCTTTGAATGAGACCTTGCTATATCTTCGTTTATATCTGAGGGTCCTTTGGAAAACCACAACGTCTGTGGCAATCGGACAAGGCTGGAAACAAAGGCGTAGTACGAAGATCGATGGATCAGTATGTCTATTTTACATTTTCCAATATTTACCTTGCCGTCATCTTCACTAAAACATCACAAAATTACACAATTGTACGTATATTTTATTGAAAATCATTTAATTGTCATTATATTTGTATATTCAGCCGATAACAATTTCTAAACCGCTAGGAACTCCATCACTGCACATGGCACGCTTTTGACATAAATAATCCTTGCAACTAGAAGGGCGTTTGCCGCATTAAAACTTAGTGGTTAAATTATCTCACCATTGAGTTTTCTGCAGCTCTTGTAGTAGAATATCCACCAGAAAAATCTGAACTGTTTGGGCCTTCAAGTCCTCGTGAAGGACTTA